GGTGAGGAGTTGGAAAGAAATGCCGTCCAGGGAAGGCAAGTGCGAGTGTCCAGAACGTTCTGAGGCCGGGAAGGGGCGGTCGCTCCCTCAGCCCCGCCTCCAGGCCCGGGTGTGGCGCATTCCCGCAGAGCGACCTCGGGCTGCGCAGGCCTGGGAGGAGGTGGGTTTTCTGGGGGGCAGGGACCTGGGGGGCAGCTAGTGGGCCAGGGGCTGGGCAGGCCCTCTGCACACCTCCACACCCCTGCCCCCCTTCTCCCCCCGTGAGCTGGCCTTTCCTGCCCCATGGCTGGCCCTGCCCTTCCCCCTGCACTCTGGGCCCTCCCGTCCGAGCTCAGTCCGGCCGCAGCCTGGGGCACCCACCCGTGCCCCCCCTCTCCCCCAGCTCCTCTGAGCTGGCAGGAACCTCCTACCGCCCCGTGCCCCTATGTCCGGTGCCGACAGGGCCAGGCCCAGAGCAGGCTCCCGCAGCACTGACGCCCCGCCAGGAGCCCCCGTGCTTGTTACGATTTTCTTAAAGAAATCCTTTCTATGGTTTACCCTTTCCCTCTATCCTATCTAATAAAAGAGAAATATGCAGATTGACCATCACTCCAGCACACAAGATGGCCGCCACAAGATGGCTGGCAGGGGAGGGCAGTTGTGGGCCATCAGGCCTGCAGGGGCGGACAGCTGGGGGGGACCAGGCCGGCAGGGGTGCGTCGATCTGGTTGGCAGGGGAGTGGTGAGGGGGCGATCAGGCAGGCAGGCAAGGTGTTGGGAGCCAGCAGTCCTGGATTGTGAGAGGGATGTTTGACTGCCCGATCCCACCTGGATCGAATTTCATTTATCGGGCCTCTAGTAAATTACATTTAACTCTTTTTTAAAGAAAATAAATTTTATTGATTTTTTACAGAGAAGAGAGACAGAGAGTTAGAAACATCGATGAGAGAGAAACATCGATCAGCTGCCTCTTGCACACCCCCTACTGGGGATGTGCCCGCAACCAAGGTCCATGCCCTTGACCGGAATCGAACCTGGGATCCTTCCGTCTTCAGGCTGAGGCTCTATCCACTGAGCACACAGGTTTCGGCTATATGTAATTCTTATTGTTCGTTGTTAATACTCACCTGAGGATATTTTCCCATTGATTTTTAGAGAGAATGGAAGGGAGGGAGAGAGACAGAAAGAAACATCGATGGGAAAGAGGCACATTGATTGGCTGCCTCCTGCACAAGCCCCAACCAGGGCCCGGGCCGGGGAGGAGCCTGCCACCGACGTAGGTGCCCTTGCCCAGAATCGAACCCGGGGCCTCAGTCCACAAGCAGGCGCTCCATCCACTGAGCCACACCGGCTGGGGCTTGTTGTGATTTTTAAAACCTGGAAACATACACAGAAGCACAGAGTCTCCTGGCTGGCCCCCGCAGCCCCACCCTGACCCGGCCCCTCCCTGCGGGTTATCGATAAAGCTCTCATTGAGAAGGAGCTCCCCTCCACACCCCTCCACCGGCGCCGGCTCTCTGTCTGTTTCTCGGCTGCTGCTGACGCACACAAGGTCGCCCTGTCAATCGTGTCCCATTTTCCCGTCTCTGGGCCCGCCCCCGACGGGGAGCGACTGGCTGGTCCAATGGGACCGAGCGGCTTTGTCAGTCCCGCCGGGCCGTCCCCACCCCCGCGCCCCGCACCGCTCCGGCCGGGGTCACGGTCCTTTCCCGTTACAGTGACACTGGACAGTGTTCCGTCCACGCCAAGGCCAGGAGGCCCTTCGTGGACGGACACGCCTTCTGCCTGCGTGTCCGTGCAGCTCCCTGAGTGTCAGTGCCGTTCATGCTCTGCCCGTGGTTTATTTATTTATTTTTAATGCATTTTTATTGATTTCAGAGAGGGAGAGGGAGAGGGAGAGGGAGAGGGAGGGGGAGAGGGAGAGGGAGAGGGAGGGGGAGAGGGAGGGGGAGAGGGAGAGGGAGAGAGAGAAGGAGAGGGAGGGGGAGGGGGAGAGGGAGAGGGAGAGGGAGAGGGAGGGGGAGAGGGAGAGGGAGAGGGAGAGGGAGAGGGAGGGGGAGGGGGAGGGGGAGAGGGAGAGGGAGAGAGAGAAGGAGAGGGAGGGGGAGGGGGAGAGGGAGAGGGAGAGGGAGAGGGAGGGGGAGGGGGAGAGGGAGAGGGAGGGGGAGGGGGAGAGGGAGAGGGAGAGGGAGAGGGAGAGGGAGAGGGAGAGGGAGGGGGAGGGGGAGAGGGAGAGGGAGAGGGAGGGGGAGAGGGAGAGGGAGAGGGAGAGGGAGAGAGAGAAGGAGAGGGAGGGGGAGGGGGAGAGGGAGAGGGAGAGGGAGAGGGAGAGGGAGGGGGAGAGGGAGAGGGAGAGGGAGGGGGAGAGGGAGAGGGAGAAGGAGAGGGAGAGCAAGAGGGATAGGGAGGGGGAGGGGGAAGGGGAGGGGGAGGGCAGGAGAGGGGAGGGGGAGAGACAAAGGGAGAGACAGAGGGAGAGGGAGAGGCAGAGGCAGAGGGAGAGGGTGAGAGAGGGAGAGGGAGAGGGAGAGGGAGAGGGAGAGGGAGAGGGAGAGGGAGAAGGAGAGGGAGAGGGAGAAGGAGAGGGAGAGCAAGAGGGAGAGGGAGGGGGAGGGGGAAGGGGAGGGGGAGGGCAGGAGAGGGGAGGGGGAGAGACAAAGGGAGAGACAGAGGGAGAGGGAGAGGGTGAGAGAGGGAGAGGGAGAGCCAGAAGAAGGGGGAGAGGAAGAGGGAGAGGGAGGGGGAGAGGAGGAGGGGGAGAGACAGAGGGAGAGGAAGAGGAAGAAGGAAGGGGAGGGGAGGGGGAGGGGGAGAGGCAGAGGCAGAGGCAGAGGCAGAGGCAGAGGGAAGGGGAGGGGAGGGGGAGGGGGAGAGACAGAGGGAGAGGCGGGGGGAGGGGGAGGGGGAGGGGGAGGGGGAGAGACAGAGGGAGAGGCAGAGGGAGAGGCAGAGGGAAAGAGAGAAGCACCCATGAGGAGAGTCAAGGACCAGCTGCCTCCTGCGCGCCCCACACCGGGGATCCAGCCCACCACCGGGCATGTGCCGTCGACCGGAATCGAACCGTGACCTGGTTCCTAGGTGGATGCTCGGCCCCTGGGCCCAGCAGGCTGTGCTCTCTGCCCGCGATGTGGCGTCCAAGGCCCCGGCAGCGGGTCCCTTCCCTGCTGCCTCCCTGGTCTGTGCCAGGCGGGAGGGCGCCACGCCCAGGCGGCGGGGGACATGCCACCCTCCGCGCAGGCCCCTTGCCTCTGCTCAGGAGGGTGAGCTGCTGCGGGTCAGGTGGCCTGGCGGTCTGTCTCCTCGCCGTTGCCCGTGCCCTGCCCAGGAGGAAGCCCGTCCCCCTGCGGACACTGCTCCCTCGCACCCGCGCTCCCTCACACACACGTTCCCTGGCCCCCGCGCCCGCCCCCGCGCTCCCTCTCGGTGCCCTGGCTGTCCAGCGGGGCAGGCTCCGCCTCCTCTGGCTGCTGCCCCTCTGCATCCTGCCCTGCGCTCCCAGCAGGGCTCCTTCCGTCCTCGCCTGGCACACACGCTGGCTCGCTCTCGGCTGCCAGCTCCCCGTGCCCAGCTCAGGGGACCCTCCTCATTCGCTGTGGGCGGCGCCAGGGAGCAGGCGGCGGGGGGTGGGGTGCTGGCCTGCTCTGTCCACCAAGAGCTGCCTCCCGGCCCTGGCCGGTGTGCCCAGTGGGTAGAGCGTCGGTCCTCACACCAGAAGGTCTCGGGTTCTACTCCAGGTCAAGGGCAGGCACCTGGGTCTAACCAATCTCCCCTCCCTGCCCCCTCCCTCCCTTCCTCTCTGAAAAGCCACGGGGAAAAATGCCCTCCGGTGAGAATTAACAAAAGCCTAGAGCTGCCTTCCGGGGGCACAGTCCGTGCTCGGCCGGGCTCAGGGAGGACGGGGAGTCCGTGGGTCACGGCCCTGACCTGGGCGGTTGTCCCCAGGCCCAGAGCCACGTCCCGAGAGAGGCTGTGTCTTCCGCTGGCCACCCCGCCCTCCTCCACCCTGGGACCAGTCCACGTGCAGGGAGCCCCAAACCCCAAGGCAGCGGTGGCCAGGGGCAGTGTGGGGGGGCCGAGACAACCTCTGACCCCATCACCCCGCAACACACACCCCAACCAGGGACTCCCCCTCCCCCCCGGGCCAGGGGGACCCAGCACCCATTCTCCACGCCCCTGAGGTCCTGCAATTGCCCTCCACCCCCCCCCCCCGCCCGGACAGCCAAGCCCACCGTGCCCACCAGCCAGACCCCGCCCAAACCCCACCCTTCCCCTCCCCCAGGCCCCCAAGGCTCCCAGGCCCCTCCCTACCCCCCCGGGGCCCACTGCCCCCCCCAGTCGGTGTTCGCAGCCCCCAGGGCAGCTGGGGATCAGGGCCTCACACGGCCCCTCGGTGCCAGGGGTCCGGCCCCTGAGCCTCAGGGCGCCCCTCCTTCTGGCTCCTCCACGCTCCTCAGGAGCCACTCGGAGGGGGTGACAGGGTGCCCGGCCCTCACCGCCCGCGCCCTGCCCGGCCCTGCACCTGGCGGCACCTTCCTTCCTGGTTCAGGTGGCCGGGCCGGGCGCAGCAGGGGCCGTGGGAGCGAGCACGTGGGCGCAGGGGCCCCAACAGGTGTGGATGGGGAGCAGGTGGAGCCGGGGGAGGAGGCGGGGGCGAGGGCGGGCGAGTGCAGGGCACACAGGTGAAGGCAAAGGGGCGGCCGCAGGCGGGCAGAGGCCGGCAGAGCGGGCGGGCCCGGCCGGTGGGCAGAGCAGGGCGGGGCCGGGCAGGGGCGGGCCGGGCAGGCGGGCCAGGCGGCGGGGCAGGCGGCCGGCAGGTGAGCCGTCCGCCGGGCCAGGGCCCTCCAAGCCGCCGGTGGGAGGGGCGGGGCATCCGGCCGGGGCGGGACGCGCCATCCCAGGACCCGTGGCCACCGCCCCCTCCGGCCCCGCCCCAGCCCGGCGGGCGGGCACCGGCCGGGAAGGCTGGCACCAGAGGCGCCGCTCAGTGCCCGCGCCCGCCGCCGCCGCCGGCCGCTCCCGCCATGGCCGCCTCCCCGCCGCGGCCCGAGGGGAAGCGCTGGGGCTGGGGCCGCCCGGGCGCCCGGAGGCCGCCCCTGGCGCTGGAGCTGGCGGAGGAGCGGCCGGCCGGGGGCCCGCCCGGTGCGCCCGGCGCCCTGCCCGCCGCCCCCGGCCCGCGGCCGCCCGTCAGCCTGGACCCGCGCGTCTCCATCTACAGCGCCCGCCGCCCGCTGCTGGCGCGCACCCACGTCCAGGGCCGCGTCTACAACTTCCTGGAGCGGCCGACCGGCTGGAAGTGCTTCGTCTACCACTTCGCCGTGTGAGTACCGGGCGGGCTCCCTGTCCGGACCGGGACGGCTCTGCCTGCCGCCGAGGAGCCACCTGCGTCCCCGCCCGCCGGGCCGGGGAGGGGGGAGCGGGGAGCGGAACCACGGGAGCCCGCGCCTTCGAGTTCAGCCGGGTCTGACCCTGAGGGATGAGGGACCCCTGGCTGAGCCGGGAGCCCCCACTGGCCCTGCCCAGGCCTGTGCGCGGGGGAGCGGGCGGGAAGGACTCCAGGTGTTAACCGTTCTGGGAGGGACCTGTGCCAGGAGCGCGCCCTTGGGTGCAGGGACAGAATGCCTCAGGGGCAGCTGGGCCCTCAGCTCAGGAGCCCGGGGAGGGGTGGCGCCCCTGCCCAGTGCTCTGACCCCCAGACCCCCAGGCCCTGCAGGCCCTGGGTGGTCTCCTGCAGGCGCGGGCCTGGCGGTGTCCCTGAGGCTCAGCGTTGGGGAGGGGCGGGGTGTTCGCACCTGGTCCCATTCAGAGGAGCCTGGACAGCGCAGAGGGACCGGCCCGGGTGCCGTGCGGAGGAAGGGGCTTCCCAGCAGCACCTGCCCGGCCGTTAGCAGGTGCTCCAGGCGGGGGGGGGCCGGAAGCAGGGCGCCCCATTGCTCAGGGACGGGGCACCAGGAAGTTCAGGCCTCGGGGAGCCTGCCCGCGCCGCCCTGTGCCCCGCGGTGGCCCCGGCACTGGGTGGCCCAGCGGTGCCTTGGTTCGGAGCCAGCCTCCCTCTGTCCCGGGAGCCTCACTCAGCCGAGCCGGGCCGGCCTCCTCCTTCCACGGTCCCTGCCTAGACCGCTGCCCCTCGGCCGGGGCTGGGGGACCAGCTGGGCACCTCCCGGGGGCCGAGGGGCAGCAGGGCCAGGCCCGGCCCTGGAGCCTCGTCGGGGCAGGTGGGGCAGGTGGGGCCAGGCAGCCGGCCTCCCCTGTAGCCTCTGCCCATGGTTCCCGGCGTGCTGCCCTCGTGCTGGAGGGCAGGCCTGCGTGGCAGCCGGGATGAGAGCCGTGTCCCCAAAGGCAGGGCCGATCTTCAAGCCCCTTCCCCACCCGCCAGGCCCAGCGGCTGCCGGGGTGTCCTGTGCAGTGACCTCAGGGACTCCCTCACCCCCCCCCCTCGACCCCCCAGCAGCGCGGCTCTGCAGACACCCAGCGCCGGGTGGTGGGTCACCTGCACACGCCCCCCCCACCACCACCACTGGCTGGGCCCAAACTCCTGGAGGCCGGAGGGAGGGCCTGGGGGGGACCCTGCCTGGCTGCCTCCCAGCCTGTGGTGCCAGCTCCCAGCAGGGCCGGGAGGGTGGGCAGAGGGGTGCCGGGTAGCGCTGCATGCCCCTGAGCAGAGGTCCCCCGGGGGCAGGCGCCCTGGGACGCGGCCTCTGGAGCTCGGCCGGCGGTGCCGGGGGAAGTGGGCCGGCCCACCCAGAGGAAGTCTCCGCTCGCCCTGTGCTTGCTTCCTGCTTCCGATTGTTCGGCCTCGGAAGTGCGCTCAGCGGCGCCAGCGCCCGGCCTCCCCGGATCTGGCCGGGGTGGCTTCCCTGGGGGGTGGGGAGCGGGAGGGACGCCTGAGGCGGCCAGGGGACCGGGCGGGTGTCCCTGTCCCCGGAGCTCGGGGGCAGCTCGGAGAACCCGGGGCCGGGAGGAGGGGTCCCCAGAGGGTCCCAGGATGAGGACGGGGCGAGGCTCTCACGCCTGGCACGGTGCCCCCGCCCGGCCCAGGACTGCTCGCGGCACCTTGTGGTGTTAATCATTGACGTGCTGGCCGCCTTCCCCGGAGCGAGGCCCGCCGACAGCCATGTGCCCGGCCGGTGGCTCCGGTGCCCGCCTGGCGGGAGTCCCTGCGCCCTCACATCCTGCAGCAGGGGCAGCGGGCAGGGAGGGTGTGGAGGGCATGGGCCCTGGCCCACCATCCCGGGCCTGACCTCCTGGGCCTCCCCCCCATGGTGGACGCTGACCTGGGGCACTGTTACGGAGGGGAAACTGAGTCACGGGGGGAGGGGGCGGGCAGCCACGGCGCGGCCGAGCCCAGCACAGACAGCTCACTGCCACCGATGCCAGGAGCAGGACGGGTGGAGGAGGGGCCGCCCACAGCAGGGTCCCTCTCCCGGCTGCCCAGTCCCCCCTGTGCCGTGGCGCCGTGTGCATGTGGGTGCCCTGCCCACGGGGTCAGGGTTCCAGGCCCGGCTCCTGTGAGCTCAGCTGGACACAGCTCTCCAGTGTGAGGCCACAGCCAGAGCAGGAGAAGGTCTTGTCTGGGTGCATGTGTAGGTGGTGGACAGACAGACAGATGGAGAGGTGATGGGTAGATGCACGGGTGGGTGGGGGCTGATGGAGAGATGGGTGGGTGGACAGGTGGGTGGGGCAGGTGGACAGGAGGAGGGAAGGATGGACGGTGGGTGGGAGGACAGGTGGGTGGACGGGTGGGTGGGTGAGTGAACGGGTGGGTGGGTGGATGGGTGGGTGGGTCGACGGGTGGGTGGGTGGGGGGACGGGTGGGTGGGTGGGGGGACGGGTGGGTGGCTGGATAGGTGGATGGGTGGATAGGTGGATGGGTGGATGGGTAGGTGGGTGGACGGGTGGGTGGGTGGGGGGACCGGTGGGTGGGTAGACAGATAGGTAAGTGGATGGGTGCAGGGATGGCCAGGTGCACGGAGCCATCCCAGCCCCCGGCACACTGACCTCAGGGGCTCCAGAGAGGGTCGCTGCGGCTCCGGCCAGCCTTGTCCCCGCTGGAGGGGGTTCGCTGCCCGTGGTCCACCCAGTGACACCACTTTTCTGTGTCCTGGGCCAGCGGGCCGACGCCCAAGACGGAGAAGGTGGAGGCTCCTCCGTCCCACGGGCTGGCCCACATCCCCCCGAGGGCCTGGGAGCCCGGCCGGGCGGGTCCGAGGCGGGCGGGCCGCTGTGCGCCCCGAGGCCAGCGCCCCCGAGGCCAGCGTCACGGCTCGAGGTGCAGGCTCTGGCCCCGAGGGGGCGGCCGGGCTGGACAGTGTTGGGGCCTTGGTCTCGGTCCCCCTCGGACTCACACTCGCTCCTCCCTCTGACCGTCTGGTCCTGAGCCGCCTCCTGCCTGGGCTCCTGGCGAAGGCCCGGGTCTAGCAGGGTCTGTGCTGGGGGCCTGGTGGGAGCTGTGGGGCGTTCTGATCAGCGGCCGTGGCCCAACCCCCGGGGCCCGCCATTGCCGAGCGGCACGGGGTCCTCCCCCCTCCCCGCCCGCCTCCAGGTCCGTGGGCGCAGGGCGGGCAGGAGGGGTGCGCTCAGCCAGTGTGATGGGGGCTCCTTGGTGACCCCCTGAGGATCAAACAGCTGGAAGCCGGGCCCAGGGCCGGGGGGGCGGACAGATGGATGGACAGGTGGATGGACAGGTGGATGGACAGCGGACAGGGGCCGTTTCAGCCGCAGGGGGCTAAGCGGGGTCCCTGCAGCCCTCCCAGGAGCCGGGTTTCCGCCCAGGCACCGAACAGCCACTGAGCGTCTTAGGCCGGGTCCCCAGGGTTTGACTCTCTGGAGCTGCTGGGTGGGGGGTGAGCCTTTGGGGCTTTGGGGCCGGGGCGGGGTGGGTCCAGGAGGCCCCGGCGTGTGTGGTGAGTGGGAATCCGACATGTCGCCCGGCCCGGCTGTCCCCGAGCTGCTGGGCACCCTGTGGGGACAGGCTGGCCTCCCTGGTCTCTGGGGAGGCCCACGTCTCCTTGCTAGGCGGGACACACGGGACGTGGGGACACGGGGACACGGGGACACACGGGATGTGGGGACACGGGGACGGGGGGACACGGGATGTGGGGACACGGGGACACAGGGACACACGGGGACACACAGGATGTGGGGACACAGGGACACGGGGACACGGGGACACACGGGATGTGGGGACACAGGGACACGGGGACACACGGGATGTGGGGACACGGGGACACGGGACACATGGGGACACACGGGGACACACAGAATATGGAGACACAGAGACACGGGGACATTGGGACACACAGGGACACACGGGATGTGGGGACACGGGGACACGGGGACACAGGGACACACGGGATGTGGGGACACGGGGACACGAGGACACATGGGGACACACGGGGACACACGGAATATGGAGACACAGAGACACGGGGACATGGGGACACACGGGGACACACGGGGACACACGGACACATGGGATGTGGGGACACGGGGACACACGGGGACACACGGGGACACACGGGATGTGGGGACATGGGGACACGGGGACACATGGGATGTGGGGACACGGGGACACACGGGGACACGGGCCCTGCAGGCCGCACAGCCCAGGACAGGGCTTCTTCCTGCCTGTCTCCCCAGCCCAGCAGCCGCTCAAGGTCCCTGCTGAGCTCCGAGGAGGTGAGGCCTCCGCCCCTCCTGGCCGTGCTGGAATGTTCCGGCTGCCCTTGGCCGGGGGAGGGGCGGCCGGGCTGGCTGGTCCCCGGGCCCCGCCTCCTGCTCTTATCGCGTCCTCCTCCTGCCAAGCTCGGCCACCTCAAAGTCACGCTGCCCGGGGCACCTGGGCCCTTCTGCCTGCCCCCCAGACGGCATTGGGGTGCAGCCATCCGGGGCCAGCCGAGCTCTGACCCCGCCTCCAGAGGGGCCAGCCGAGCTCTGACCCCGCCTCGCGCTCCCCGACCCCTTTCGGCAGGACCTTGCCTGTCTGCGTCTCGGCCTCGGTGCACAGTGGCCTCTGGGGGCGCCCTGTCCCGGGTCCGTCAGCAGGTCCTGTCTGTCCATCCGGCCGGCCGGCAGTGATTGCCCGGCAGCCCCCAGTGGCCTGGCCTGTGCGTCTCGCACAGTCTGTTCTCGACGGGGCCCTGACCTGGCCGCTTCGAATAAACCAAACCCAGCACCTTGGCCCGGTGTGCCTGCAGCCCGGGCTCCTGCCTGGGGACACGCACACACACACACACACACACACACACACACACACACACACGGACAGCGTGCCCTGAGCCTGTGCAGCCTGCGGGCTGTGGGGTGGGGGTGGGGGGTGAG